CAGCACCACATAAGCAAAAAGAAAAAAGCCGGAAGTGGTGCTGTGGCTCAAGTGGTAGAGCGCTAGCTTTGAGCTGAAGAGCTGAAGGACAGCGCTCAGGCCCAGAGTTCAGGCCCCACGACTGGACCAAAAAAAAAAAAAAAATGAATGCAAGGATTGAGTTGGGGGGGATGGAAGGGGGAGGATGGGAAGGGATGGGAAGGGGAAACAGAGGAGGCTTGATAAGAAATGTACTCATTATCTTGCCCATGTAATTGTAACCCCTCTGTACAGTATTTTCATAATTAAAAAAAGAAAAAAAATGCAAAAATCTTTGATAACATAAACACCTACATTTTGAAGACCCAATTTGACAGAGGAGTGAGTTGGGCAAGTTGTACTAGCATAGTGTGAGATGGAGCTTTTTATTTAAAATCCTAACTTCACTGGGTGCTGATGGTTCAGACCTGAAATCCAAGCTACTCAGGAGGTTGAGATATGAGGATCTTGTTTCAAAGCCAGCCTGGGCAGAAAGATCCTGTGAGATACTTGCCTCCAACTAGCCAGCAAAGAGCTAGAAGTGGAGGTGTGGCTGAAGTGAGTACCAGCTTTGAGCAAAAAAAGCAAAGCAAGAATGTGAGGCCTTGATTTCTAGCTCCAGTACTAGCACAAAGAAAAAAAACTTTATACACAAAGGATTGCATTAATTTTTTTAAAGTGTTGCATTACAATATTATTTCTCTTGATTATTGAGGTTTGGGCACACTCCTAAATTTTGTGCCTTGAGTAAGTGCCTAATCCTAGCCTGGGCTTAGATGTAGAAATCATTGGGGTCATCTCTTAGGGTCTTTATTTTTTTTCCTTTCTTTCTTTTCTTGTGTTAGTACTGGGGCTTGAACTCGGGGCCTTGGCAACTTCATTCACTCAAGGCTAGCATTCAACCACTTGAGCCACGGCTCCACTTCTGGCTTATTGGTGTTTAATTGGAGATGAGAATCTCACATATTTTAGTGCCCAGGCTGGTTTTGACCCTTGATCCTCAGATCAGCTAATCAGCCTCCTGAGTAGCTAGGATTACACATGTGAGCTACCTGCACGTGAATCTTAAGGTATTTTCTGAAAATGGAACACACACTCAAATTGCATGTATTGTTCTGCAGCTCCTCTGTCCCTTGAAAAAAAGAGAAAGGGAATCTAAAGGAATCCGACTGATGAGAAAGCACTTTCCTTAAACTGGAGAGGATGTGGATTTTCCATGGAGGGGATTGAGATGCTCAATGAATTCAGTATTTCTCCTTTGTAAAACTCTGGAGGGAGTAGAGCAGACTTTGAAGAGATCACTGACTCCTTTCCTCTTTTAGTGCTTGCAACCTAAGTCGTTTAGTTACCTCATGTTCAGTGATGGGCCTAGTAACCTTGAAGCAGAGGAAAAACAAGACAAGGAGTGTCTTGTAACTCTGGAAATTTCAAATCCTGTATTTTGATCATTAGTTTCCTCATCTATAAAGTTAGAGGTTTTAACTAGATGATTTTGGAAGTTTGTTTCAACTCAATTACCCTACCATTCTATTTTTTTTTAAGGTAGTATAGAAACTAGTTTTGCTTAGTATTTGGAAATAGTAAGAAATAAGAGTTCTGGGGCTGGGAAGGTGTCTCAGTGGTAGAGCGCTTGCCTTGCATGCCTGAGGCTCTGGGTTTGATTCCTCAGCACCACATAAGCAGAAAAACCTGGAAGTGGTGCTGTGGCTCAAGTGGTAGAGCACCAGTTTTGAGCTGAAGAGCTCAGAGTCAGTGCCCAAGCCCAGAGTTCAAGCCACACAACCAACAACAACAACAAAACAGTTCCTTGGCAAGTAAAGGCCAGCTTAGAAAATGACTGGTTCTTACTAGTGGCATTTCTTAGTGTGTATGACAGGAAAATCCTCACAGGCCAGTGAGCCAGAACTGTCTTGAAGGGTCACCAGCTGCAGTGGAACCTTCTGTTCTGATCTCACTGAGAGACTTCAACTGCTGGGCTGACCATTTGGAGATCATTCAAGGACATATCAATTGACCTACACCCATAAAATTCATCGTTTAGAAGCACCAAGTTCTAATTGCCTGCTTAGGTTTAGGGGAAAGGAGGGTAACATTCATAGCCTATTTTCTTTATTACGTGTGTGTACATGCACACACTCACACACGTGCACACTCACACACATGCATATGTGTGTGAACCGGTACTGGGGCTTGAACTCAGGAAACGGTACTGTTCTTTAGCTTTTTCTTTTTATAAATTTTATTTTATTGTAAAGATGTTGTACAGAGGGGTTACAGTCACATGAGTAAGGTAATGAGTACATTTCTTTTTTTTGTTTTGTTTTGTTTTTGTTTTGTTTTTGTTTTGTTTTTTTGGGTCCAGTCATGGGGCCTGAACTCTGGGCCTGGGAGCTGTCCCTCAGCTCTTCAGCTCAAGGCTAGCGCTCTACCACTTGAGTCACAGCACCACTTCCGGCTTTTTTCCTTTTGCTTATGTGGTGCTGAGGAATCGAGCCCAGGGCCTCGAGTATGCAAGGCAAGCGCTCTACCACTGAGCCACCTTCTGAGCCCATGAGTACATTTCTTGTTGAGCATTGTTACTCCCTTCTTTTTCTCCTACTATCCCTTCCCTCCCCCACCTCCCTAACTCCTCCCAACCTCGAAGTTGTGAAGTTCATTTGAGTATCATTGTTATAATGGGTCATCCTGTGTCCTTGTTTCCACATTTTTTTATTCTCTTTCCCCTCCCTAGATTAGATAAATGTTTATACAAGATGCAAGTTACCAACCATAGAGGGAAGAGCATACAAAAGAAACAAAAAAAAATCACATAGTGCATTAAAAACAACAACAAAGAAAAACCTCTTGTGTCCATATCTTGGGGTTCATTTCACTTAGCATAATCTTATATGGTCATATGTACATAGCTTTTGAGCTTTTCTGCTAGCTTTTTTATTCAAGACTGGCACTGTACCACTTGAGTCACATCTTCATCTTCACATTGGCTTTTTGGTGGTTAATTGAATTGGGGATAAGAAGCTGACAAACTTTCTTGCCTGAGCTAGCTTGAAACCCTCATCATCGGATCTCACCTGAGGTGCTAGGATTAAAGCCATTAGCCACTGGCCACTGGCTCAGTCACAACCTTGTGAATAGGCAAAACTCACCTCTCTCCATGCTTCTTTCACTTAGAATGGCCCTTGTTCATTTGAGTTACCTTATTCATTTCTCTGTGGGAATCCTATTGTCATTGTGGTCCTCTGGACTTTGAGTGTCACCAAGTGAGCAAACTCTTCAGTATTGAACAGAAAGTGCACAAGCACAGGTGGTCCTTAGCATGTGACTGTCCCGGTGACATAATTTACTAGGTAACACTTTGAAACAGGTAAAAAGTGTTCTTTAGGTCCTTCCTTGTATTTCCTAAGCTCTGACCCCTTTTCTTGCCCCATCCCTAAGCTTTATTGACCTTTCTTTCCTTCTCAGCATCTTCTCCTCCTTTCTTCTTCTTCAAACACGTTTGCAGATAAATGCATTTCGATTAAAATGCAAGTAAAGCCGGGCACTGGTGGCTCACACCTATAATCCTAGCTACTTAAGAAGCTGATATCTGAGGACCACAGTTTAAATCCAGCCTAGGCAGAAAAGTCTGAGTGTCTTATACCTAATTGGCCACAAGAAGCAGGAGATGAAGCTTTGGCTCAAGTGGTAGAGCACTAATGTAAAGGCAAGGATGTAGAAATTTAGGAAACAAAACTATTTACAAATTACCCTTTCTCCCTTTGTTGTTACACCAAGACTTTGCTCAAGGCACTATCTCTTGGAATATATGGACACCACCTCTTAATTTATTTAGTCCTGAGGCTTGAACTCAGGGCCTGGGCACTGTCCCTGAGCTTCTTTTGCTCAAGGCACTTGAGCCACATTGCCACTTCTGGCTTTTTCTGTTTATGTGGTACTGAGGAATCAAACCTAGGGCTTCATTCAGGCTAGGCAATCTTTCTACCACTAAGCCACATTCCCAGCACACTCCACCTAATTTTTTTATGGCAAAACAATGCAAAATTTAATCCCATCGACTATGTATATTCAGAACAAGAGATAATTTACAAACAAATATCCTTAATCCACTAAATTCTTAATAACCTATTAGTAATATATCAACAAACTATTATTGCTTACATAGTCTTGAGGCTAAGTCTTTGTGCTAATTTTACATATAAGATATTTAATTTTGTATTGTTATTATAAAGGTGATGTACAGAAGGGTTACAGGTAAATGTATTCTTTACCTGTAAAGAGTAAAGGGGCAATGTCACCCCTTCCCTCACTTTCTCCCAATTTTTCCCTCTTGTCCCCACCTACAAGTTGTATAGTTGATTTTCAACATAGTGTCTAGTGAGTGCCACTGCTGCATTTATTCATCCTTTGTCCTTCCATTTTTTTTTTGTCAGTCATGGGACTTGAACTCTGGGCTTGGGAGCTGTCCTAGGGTTCTTCAGCTCAAGGCGAGCACTCTACTGCTTGCTTGAGCACAGTGCCACTTCCGGTTTTCTAGTGGTTTATTGGAGATAAGTGTCTCATGGAGGGCTGAGAAGGTGGCTCAGTGGTAGAGCACTTGCCTTGCATGCATGAGGCCCTCAGTTTGATTCCTCAGCACCATATAAGCAAAAAGAAAAAAGCCAGAAGTGGCACTGTGGCTCAAATGATAGAGTACTAGCCTTGAGCTGAAGAGCTGAGGGACAGCGCCCAGGCCCAGAGTTCAGGCCCCACTATCAGACCCCTCCCCCACCCCCAAAAAAGAGTCTCATGGACTTTCCTGCCCGGGCTGGCTTTGAACCGTGATCCTCAGATCTCAGCCTCCTGAGTAGCTAGGATTACAGGCGTGAGCCAACAGTGCTCGGCTGCCCATTTCTATGCTCCCCATTACCCTCCCAAAGACAGATAAATGAACACAGAAGACAAAAAGAAAAGAAAATGAAAACAACAACAAAGAAAAAAACCTCTTGTTTCTGTTTCCTGAAGTTCATTTTGATTGTAAGACATTTTAAAATCATAGTTAACAAAGTAGTTCATGTGTACTTATGAGTAACTTAAGAAGTGAGGGCTGTTGGATGTGCTGCCTGTAATCCTAGCTGCTCAGAAAACTGAGATCTGAGGCCCACAGTTTGAAGTTAGCCTGAGCAGGCAAATTTATGAGACCCTTATCTCCAATTAGTCAGCAAAAAGCTAAAAATGGAGGTGTGGATTAAGTGATAGAGCACTAGCTTTGAGCAAAAAGACAAACCACAGAGCAAGGTCCTGAGTTCAAGCTCCAGTACACATGCATATGCATGTGCACACACACACACACACACACACACACACGTGCACATACACAGATCAATTGGGCTACATGGTGAATTCTGTCTAAAGTAAAAATAAAATGAATAATAGGAGATTCAGAAAAATGAGAAATCAATTTGGTAAACTTAAATGGTGAGAAAATCTGTCCAAGTGAGAAGGGATATGAACTCAGCTTTGAAAGACTTTAAGAGACAAAAAAGAAAGGCACATAAAGGGAGAGATGGCATAAAGCATATCAGAAGAAAAAATAAAGGATCACTTGGATTGACCAGAGCAGGTTCCTATAGCCAAATATTGACAAACTGTGAAAACTTAATTGGGATGAGAGTAGGTAGAGAGCCTTGACTGTGGGATCAGATTAGACTTCCTCTTTCAGGCAATCAGAAATATCTCACAAATTCTAGCCAGTCACCTGTGATAGTTCACATCTGTAATCCTAGCTATTCAGGAGGAGGCTGAGATCTGAGGATTAGAGTTTGAAGCCAACAGGGCAGGAAAGTTCAATTAACCACCAAAAATCAGAAGTGGAGCTGTGGCTCAGGTGGTAAAGCACCATCCATGAGCAAAAATGATAAAAGGCAGAGTCCAGGCCCTGAGTCAAACCCTAGTACTGGTGTGTGCATGCACATGCATACACATACACACACAATAATAAATTCTGAGATAATGCCATTATACATGGTTCTTTGAAGGAATTGGAGAGACAAGAACTAGAAAAAGTAAGGGTGATATTGGAGGAGACACTGCATAAGATAAGGAAGCTTTTACAGTTAGGGGAGGGAAAAGAAGTAACAAAATCATTCTAGAATCATCATGGTAAATAATCATCTTTTGGGGATTCTCATAAACTTAAAATAAAAATTTTCTGTTAGACAAGCCAGTTAGGCTGGCAACAAATATTGTTGAGAAACTAGTATGTATAGTCCTTTTTTTTGTCAGTCATGGGGCCTGAACTCTGGGCCTGGGAGCTGTCCCTCAACTCTTCATCTCAAGGCTAGCACTCTACCACTTGAGCCAAAGCACCACTTCCAGCTTTTTCTGCTTATTTGATGTTGAGGAATTGAACCCAGGGTCTCATGTATACAAGGCAAGCACTCTACCACTGAGCCACCTTCCCAGCCCTATTATGTACAGTTCTGTGATAATGTGAACAGTAATTATAAGAAACTGTTCCAGCTCAAGGATTTGGTCAGCCTCATAAAGAATGGAGTGGAAGACTGACATGTGCCAACTAATTAAAGTAAAGAAAACAATTCTCTAAAATGACACTCAACAACATAATCTGTACTGTAGAGTTTCAGAAAAGAAAAGGTATCTTAGATTTATATAGAAATCAAAAAGGTTTCACAGAAGAGGAAGCAGAGTACTTCCTGGGTCACTGAGATTCTGACTACCAGATGGACACTCTGTCCAGTTCTCCACATTCAGTCTAGGCTCCCATTGTCTCCTACGTCACACTCATTCAAATCTCTCTGCCCTTCTCTTGCCCCTCCTTCACTTAGTTTCAACCAATAACAGAAACTCCTAGAATATCAGCAGTTTCACTTCTAACCCTGCTACCAGCTGGAATCCTTCACTACAAGATCCATCTGCCAAAGGACCTGGTAAAGACACAGATCTCATGATTGAGAATAGGGGAAAAGAAATGAGAGATGAGGAAATATCATTATGTGTTTATTTGTTCCACCTTCCAGGAACTGTGTAGGGCTGTAGGAGACAGAAGAAGTGGTAAGGGATATGTAGGGTCAGATGATAGAGGCTCTTCTGGGAGACTATTGACCCCACTAATAAGAGTATAATCCTAGTTAACCAAGATCACAGTTCAAAGCTAGCCAGAGCAGACAAATCTGGTAGACTCTATCTCCAATAAACCAGCAAAAAGCTGGAAGTGGAGCTGTAGCTCAAGTGTTAGAGCACCAGCCTTCAATAAAAAAGCCAAGTGGGAATATAAGATCTTGAGTTCAAATCCCAGTACTGGCACATAAAAAAGGGAGGAAGGGAGAAAAAAATGAAATAAATACTTGCTTCCAGCACTTTTTACTTATCTCAGTTTCTTTTTTGAGATGACTAGACTGAAGTTAAGTGACGTGGAGTGAATTGTTTATAAGAGGAGAAGCAGGGATTTTAACATGGACAGTCAGACCCACAGTGGACTGTCCTTTTCCTGTATCATCCTTCCATGAACATAAATAGTTATTTTACATCTAGACTGACGCATGGGAATAATTGGCATAAGGAAAAGAAAACTGTCTCCTAACTGTTCCTGTTTTTATCTTTATCCTTTTATCTTTACTGCAGAAGAGACTGCAGTGTATCCAAGATGGAGACCTTTGTTCTGCTGCTGCTTGGCCTGGGGCTGGTTCTTACAGGAGCTTCTGGAAACATATTGGAGATAATGAAGGAAGAATTTGCAAAGGAAGAAATGCAATCTTCTGTGGCAAAAAGTGGCCATTTGGAACAGACTGTTGAGGTATTAATGAACTTCACCCTGTTCGATCAAAATACCAGCATGTCCAAGGTTTTTCCTTCCTCGCTACTGACATTCAGAAGATCGCATTTTAACACCCCCAAGGGAAACATTCTGGGTAACCATCAAGAATGTTGCAACATAACAGTCTGGAGGAAACTTTTAGAAGCTAATAGGTCCTGCAGATTGAGAAATAACTTTATCCCTGGCACCATGGAAGTGACCCACCATGGCCACACGGCCCCTGGATGCGAGTGTGGACAGAACCCCATCATGAACATCTGGGAGAGCCCAGAAGTGGAGAATACTATGTGCCAGCTCTCTACGGGCAGACAGTCCAACAGGTGCCAATACCACAGAGTTACCTCGCTAAAGAAGATGTTCACGGTGCTGACAGGTCATTCTCTGATGAGCTGGTTAGTTAGTGGTTCTAAACTGTAAATGTTCCAGTACTTTGAGACTTGGGTCTGTATGAAGGACATGCTCATGCTCATCATTGTTCCTTTCTTTCTATGATTCACCCCCACCCCTAGGTACTCTAGAAAACCCCATTAAGTATATTAACTGGAAGACTGGAAAAAAAAACCTCAAATGGAATAATTCCATTAAAAAATTTGTAACTGATCCCATAATGTGGATGCATTTTTCACTTTTCTCTGTCTGTCTGTCTCTTTTTCAAACACACACACACACACACACGCACGCACACACACACACACACACACACACACACACACACACACTCCTGAACCAAACTGAATTCCATCCTAGCTCCACTATAAAGCCAAAAAGCTGAGTTAATCTAACTGAACAAAATTAAAGACAGAAAGTCTGAATTAATATAGCTAATCAAACTTTAATTGTACTGCTAATGAGATCATTCAGAAAGGTAGTGAATGAGGGTGGAAGAAACTGCTGCTCTTCTGTGCATCACTGTCCACCCATGTGGGAGTTGCCTGTCCTCTAGGCCCTGCAAGAGGCTAAAAGACCCTTTGATTTAGCTGCTACCCTTAGTGCCTACAGCTCAAGGGCCTGTAGTGTCCATCCTTCCCCCATAGATGGGTGTACAGGCTGCTATAAAGAGAAAAAATAAAATTCTTGTTTTTGCTGTTGTTGGTGGTGGTGGTGGTTGTGGGGCTTGAGCTCTGGGCCAGGGTGCTGTTCCTGAGCTCTTCAGCTCAAGG